CCTAAAAGGGGGCAATAGGCAGCTTGTGGTAAGGTTAGTGGGTAATTCCTGGTCGGTTCAAAGCCTGGTTTGAGACAGATGAGTCACTGATACTGGAATGAGAAACACAGCTCAACGATGAGCCTGAGTCCCTTGGAGTCAGGTCAGAGTCCAGCAGCTGGAGGAGGATGGGTGGGTGGTTAAAGACCCTGTCCCTCAGGGAGGCTGCACTCATTTTTGCACTCAAGCTCCAGTCTCTCCAGGAGGCCCTGGACAGATCCCTTCACCCTGGTGCTGCCCTCCCCCATTCGTAGGTGCTGATACTGTCAGACCCTTTCCCCTCTCTTTGTTCCCTGTCCCTGACTCTGCCCTGCCTTGTTCAGCTGTAGCTGCTGCAGTTTCCAAGCTGCTGCAGTTCCCACCCGGACAGGGCTCCTCCATGGGCAAGATCCCCCATGGAGGCTCTGGGGGCAGCTGTGCTGGATACCCAGGTAGGGTGGTGGGAAGCCACAGTGCAAACACAGGGCTGAGCCACAACCCTTCCTCCATGGGAGAGGTCAAAGGCCTCCAGAGCTCCTCTGAATCCTGGGTGGGGGCCTCAGGCCACATGCAGGAGGCAGGGCAGCCCCTCTCGTCTCAGGAAGGAGGGCTGTGAGCTGCATCTTGCCCCATGAGGCCTCTGTGCTAAAGCCTCTCTGCTGTGGCCTAGTAACAGTGATTTGGTGGCCAGGGTGATGGCAGGGGCCTCATGCCCGCTCACAAAGGGTCTTCAGCCATTGCCAGCCTTGGGCAAGGAAGTGGTGTCCACAGGCTGGAAGGCAGCCTGCAAACACCCAAAAAAAGCTGAGTTGGAGTAAGCTTTGTTCTCTGAACAGAACTCTCCAGATGCACACATTCTGGTGCTGGCCCACCTTGCTGAGAGGGGCATGGCAGCAGTTTAGCAGCATGCATGGCATAGCTGGGGGTGGAATCCAGTAACGCTTCCAAAATAAAAAACGCTGGTACACTTTAGACTCCTTTCCTATCCTGTGGTTGCCAGATCTCCTAGCACATTCGCTGTGTCTGGGCCGCGTGGGGAACAGAGGGCAGTTGCCCCATTCCAGAAGCAAAAGGCTCAAAGCTTAAGGCTTCTAACCAGGAGTTGCTGGGCTTTTTTTTTTTTTTGCAGGTTCCTGATGCCCACAAAGTACAAGCTGCACTGTTTGAAAGAGTGAAGCACAGGAGCAGCTGTAGCATACAACCTGCACAAGTCTGGATTACGGAGGACGTCAACCTGACCTGCACGTAAGCGCTCTGTCCCCCATTGCGCTGTTGGCGTCTGGGTCACAGGACAGTCTGAGCTTTCTTCCCCTCCCCAGAACCATCCTAAATAACTACTGGTTTGACCTCTTGGCTTCAGGAAGTGGAAGTGTTTGTCATCCCTGGAAAAGGGTCTCTTGGCAGCTGACTCTTTGCTGTGCCTGTGCTGAGTTTCAAGCCAGGAGCTCCTGTGGTTCCCATGTCGCTATCAAATCCCACCCAGCTACGGCTATCAACCACTGTATCAGGCAAAGGAGCTGAGCCACACTCCTCCCTCGCAGCAGTGCAGCTGCTTTTGGTACATTTTTTGTACACACAGCCCAGCATTATCTGGCCTCCCCTTTTGCAGTCCATCAGCATTGGGTGTTTCCAACCAAGGCACAAAGTTTGGCTCTGAGAACGTGTTTAACGGTTTATGGTGTGAGCATCTTCTGCACCTGCCCGCCTCAGTTATGCAGGGACACAAATGAGCTCAGTTTCCAGGAAACCCATATGGTGATAAAAATCAGTGTGATTGGATTTATAACAGCCATACATGAGGACAGTTTCATGTGGAGTATTTTTCACTGCTAATGGCAGTGGCTTTTATTTTTAAGCCCCTTTTTTTACATTAAAAAATTTTATTACAAAAAAACCCAAACTTAACAGTAAGGCAGTTTCTCAATTGTCAGTCACTGTGACTCACACACTTCTCAGTCATCTTTAATACAAGACTAAATTCACACAGGAGCCACGCTCTTGATCCAGAAGCCCTTTGAGCAATGAAGAGGAGAGGCAGAAAGCAGCAGCCCCGCCTGTGTAATCCCTCGCACAGCATTAGGTGCATGAACACTGCTGCAGCAGAGGAGGACATAGGGATTGTCTGCAACTTAAAAAAAAAGCAGCTGACCCCTTCTCTTCCCAGAACCTGGAACGTTTGGGTCTGATGTGCCTCAGCAGCCTTGAGTTTAGTTTTGAGGGGGTTTCTTTGTTGTTGTTTTTTTTTTTTTTTAAACCAAGTGAAAATTTCTACTGTTAAAAGACAAACTGGCAATTCTTCAGGAAAGAAAAACTGTCACTGAGTAGCTCACGCTCTAAAAAGTCATGCACTACAACACTTTCACTCCCCAGAGCAATGCCTCTTAGAGACCGGCCTTAAAATGCTGTTTCACACTGGAAGCACCCCATGGCAGCTGAGAGGGAGGTGACTGCTTAGCAAACTTCCCCTGACATTACACAACTTCTCTCCAGCTCCTCACTCATCTTTTGGTGGTGGTGGTGTTCGAACAGAAGAGATGGGGGGAGGAAACCCCAAACCACTGCTTAATATAACAACAAAACTGTGATTTCTCATTGCTCCAAGTCACCCTTTGTCCATTCAACACATAGGAGTAGCAGCAGTGCTTCCTTCCACCACAGCAGTACCTGAAGCAGTCACTGACACGGTTATTCAGTATTCCTCTTTTACTTTATCTAAGTTCTACAATTTTTACCTGTTGATTTTTAGAGTGTCAAGTAACTCTTCTGCTCAATTTAGAAACACAAAAAGAAACAACTTTTCTGTAATAGCAAAACCAGGTGCTGATTTCTAAATGTGTCCATGGTGGCAATACGTGGAGTTCTTTCCATACTCATTAACTGTGCAGGACAGGCTTTTCTAGAAGTAGTTATAGACGCCTCAGAGCTACTGGGAAAAATCAGTGCCCAAAGGTAAAAACTCCTAGCACCACACTGGTTGTTGTGTTCTTTCACTTGCAGGGAAGTGCAGGACTGACCTGCAGCCTTGGCTACCTTATTTTTGGAGCTTAAGTAAGTAAAAAAGATGGGAAAGAGACAACAACCATGGATAGGAATAGAGATGAACGACACTGTGTGAAAGGGAACAAACAAACAAACACAGGTAGGTAGAAATGTTTCTGGGTTTTTTTGTTTTAATAATTATAATTTAGTCATGAAAAATATGCTCTGATCCCCCATCACTTCAGTGACTCCATTTAGATCAGATACTGCTCTAGTGTATCAGCTACTCTGAAGAAATGAGCAGTACAGACAGGAGGTGGAACTATTTCTGAGTTTTCTTTTTATTTGTTTTCTTAAGAGCTGGAGGGACTTCAGTTTACATCGGCCAAAAGCACTGGTGAAATGCAAGAAGGTGCAGGGCTGAGGATAAACAGTTATGTAGGTCCAACAGGCTCAGTAGAAATTTAACAACGCGTTTTTTCCAGCAAAGATTTTAAAGTGTCTTCTGCAAGTACGCAGTTTCTCAAACTATAGTACCTTAAACTGCATTCTCAGTAATCCCGAGGTATTTCTAACGTGTTAACTGTTGGTTTCATCTACATTTTGGCTCAATTTTCAAGACTTTACTGAAGAAGAAAACCCAATTTTCTGTAACTGGAATTTTTTCCTTGGTAAAGACTTCAGGGTTGACCCCTAAATCAGTAAAACCATCATCGTCCACAAAATCAGACTGTTGCGGTAAAGTCTGGTGCAGCTCACCGTTTCTTGTCCTCATGCTATTGGAATATTTGGACATTTTGCTAAAAGTGCTGCTGTTGAAGAGAAATGGCTTTGGAAGGCAAAGCTCCCTGCAGCCTCTCCCCACCCTGCTGAGCTCTTCCTGTGCTGGCAGTTCAACAGCTACAGCAGCCACAGCCTCATCTCCCTCAGAGGCTTCAGCTGCACCTCAGTGTGAGGATGACTCGTCACAAACTGAGGGCACTCTGAGTTCTTCCAGGGTGGGCACTGCTGACTTTGGGGATGCTTTTTCTGTACAGGTGGCACAGATCAGAATGGGTCCAGCCCTGGCTTGTAGGAAGAGCAGCAGTGAAGTGAGCAGCACCAGAGCCGCTAGAGAAGGCCCCTTCCCAGTGTTTCCTCACTCACAAGTGCCAGCGACAGCCAAACGGAGGGGAGGCAGCACTGCAGTGGAGACAGCCTCTGCAAGGTGAGCAACACCAAACCATCCAGAGTGGGCACCTTCTCAGGCCCACAAAACTCTGAGAACTGGGAGGATGAGGGTGAGGAGCATTCTGAGGGGACTGAGGTATTACCTCATCACCTGAAGTCTCATAACCAGTTTGAAATTCCAGTGTCCTAAGGCACAATCGTTTTGATTAATGAAGACGGTAACATTCCCATCCCCGCTGCCCAAGGAACAGGTGTAAGAGTTGCCTACTACAACAGAACAAAAGCAGCACTGGTTTATGTGGACAAACATTAATGATAAAAATGGAGGGAAAAGGGGCTGTAATGGTTGTCAGGCTGCTCTGGTCCAGGCGTGTGTGACACAGCACTGCTGGAGCCTCTCATCTCTGCGTGTGTCACTGCTGGCTCACATTTTCAAGGTTAAAGAGCCAAATTCCCCACAGAGGCTGAGAAGGAGGCCAGTTTATAAATTGGGGCTTTTGTGGAAGAGGAAAAACAGGCTAAAACATAACCTGTTCCCCAGAGAAACACAAACCATGCCCACAGTTCTCAACAGTAGTGGTCAGCCACTCCAGAAAAGCAAAAAGTCAAATGTTTGGAAATTGAGGAACTGGTTTAATTCAGCCTTCCTTAGAAAGGAGCCTTCCCAGTAAAGCACCCACCCTAAGCAGACTGACAGCTGCGAGGAGGCCTCCGAGTGAACAATCACTGCCTTTCCATGCTGCTCTGAGGAGCAATGGTGAAGGGAACACCCACACAACACCACTGTGAGTTGTGGCCCTGATCTGTATTTTGGCCTTATTTTTTTCTGTAACACTCAATAATATTCTGTTTGTAAAACCTTAAGGGGATATTTTAAGGGAAGTAAAAGCACGCTCGTTTTGTCCACAGATGAAACATCGGTGTAGCTGAAGACTGAACCTGTAGTGGAGTGTTAGTCAATTGTAAACTGTAGGAGATGTGTGCACTTCACACAAACTGAATGCAGAAGAGACGAAGGACAAGTCTGCATCATTCCAACTCTGATAAAGTGCACGGCCTTCGGAATTCCTGTCCCCGCTCGTGCAGCCATTTATTGGATACTGCAAAGACAAAGGTATTTGGTCACTGCACTTGCTTAGGTGATGCTTCTGTTTAAGCTCAATGTATGCTAATGGCCAGCTTTCAGGTAAGCACAGGATTATCTTAATTTTCTAAAGTATTTTTATACACACATACAAAATGTGAAGTTAGTCTGATAAATCCAAGAGGGGAAAAAAACCTTCCAGTAACTGCAGAACTACAAAAGACTATTAAAGTAGATATGGTATTACATGTATTTTATAGATAAAATATTCTACTATATATATAAAATACATAACACAGTATATTAAGAGAGATAATATGTAATATACATAGAGAGATATGAAGTAGATATAGCTATAAAAGTAGATTTATTTTGATAAAGGACCTAATTTATAAAATACATAACACAGTATATTGAGAGAGATAATATGTAATATACGTAGAGAGATATGAAGTAGATATAGCTATAAAGTAGATTTATTTTGATAAAGGACCTAATTTCTGGCTGCTTTTCATTCTACCATACGAAGCCCAGAACAAGAAGAAACCCACGACAACCCCCCACAAAGCCCCTGACCTCCAGCTCACATGCACTAACAACAACCTGGGGGGTACTTACCCCATTTGTTTCCAACTAGCACCGGGCAGGCCGCATGCCGCGTGCTGTAATCGCCTTCTCCGCTTGGGAAGAGGTTGTACCAGAATACAGCTGTGCCCTGGAAATCACAGCAGAAGCCCTCAGCATTTTGCTCTGTTCAATACACACTTTCACACCAGTGTACTTAACAATAAGGCAAAAGCATGTGTGTGTCTATTTCAGACGTTGCTTTTAAACTGAAGGCTCTTTTCCATATTCTAACATTTGCTTTCCTGCAGAGTGAGTCTCCTTTGACTCATTCTGTGTCTGTATATACTTGGCTGTTAATTTTATAAGCCAGTCTCATTCAACTCTGACCAGTTTTAGAAAGCAAGATAATTTGTGAAAAATGAGCAGCAGGCCAGCAAACACAGACCTTATTTGTGACCCTTCAGAGGGAAAAATAAACCAGCAACACACAATTTCAGGGAGAATTCCCTGCAGATGCCTCAAGACTAAAACTACTTACAGATTTGAGTATTTTCAGAATGTGTCTTGACGTATTGTAATGTTTCGCAAAGTCTATACAGTAGAAGCAGTTAAGTCCAAAATGTAACTGTGTGTTAACATGCATCAGAGACCTTTGGAAACCAGTACTACTCCAGTCCTTCACTGAACTGTAAGTGCTTCTGTGCTCCCATGAATCATTTTTTTATATAAAATCATGTTAAAGCTTCTTCTTAAACGTTTATGCATCTGTTATGTCTTTTGAGTAGGTGAATTACACTGGGTAAAAGTCCCTGCTTACCTTTTTAGGCCAAACACTGGCTCCCACTTCAGGAAAGACAGTGGCTCCCCCTGCTGACACATCACTCATCTGAAAAGGAGGCACAGCACAGTTCGAGTCGCAAGCTGACGCGTTCTCTCTCAAGTGTCAGGTTTTAGTAAAACAGAATGAGCTTACTGAACAACTTAATCTCTACCTTCCAGTCAGTAAGCAAAGGCTGTGTGATGAACAGCCTTAAGAAAGGCTGAAACCCACCCACTTCGTTCAGAGTGCAGCAGCCAGCCTTGGCTCTGAATGTTTTAGCAATGAGCGTGCTATAAATACCAACACAGATATAACAGTCAATAGGCAGTCAAATAATTTAAGCTGCTGTTCAACTTTGAGGGGAAAAAAAAAACCTCCTCAAGAACACATGGAAGAGCCATTACCCTGTACATATTACCACTAAGTTAGTGGCTGCCTTCATTTGCAAGTCGCTTCAGTACAAAAACATAATGAAATCGTTCAATGGTATAGAATACGCAGGGATAGATATTTTTGGCACTAGCACATGGCAGAAAATACATCACTTACATAAAACAACCAAGTAGCAATTCTGTTGCCTGTTCCCAATTCCTTAAAAGCATCTGGCTCATCTTTCTGTGAATAAAGGCAAGCAGATTTAATAAGCATTTCATTGTGATTATTGAGAGCAGCCGACGACATACAGCTGCAGAGCCAGCAGCAGACAAACTCATGCAGAAAAATGAATTCAATCCTTCTATTTGGAAGGAGGGGAGAATGCAATTGGAGTGTCTATTAATTTAAATAAACCAGGCATTTAAAAATTCTGTAGGGCAGGAAAGGCATAAGCCCAAATTGCTAATGGGCAGGAACAACTGTACTGTCTGAAGACGAGTATAGAAATCCTCTTCACAGTCACAAACGTAATTATTTAATTATGCTTACTTAGCCCCTCTTGTCCTTGGCCAAGAAGAGCAACAGTGAGGGCAGCCCTTCAGTGCCAGGCTCCCTGAGAACCTCCCTGCAGCAGAGCTGTGCCACAGGGGTGGCTCCAAGTGTGCCTGGGGGCAGTTGCTGGCCCTGCTTCCTCAGGGTGGTTCTGCCTATGTGGCCCTCACTCCTTTCCCTGTTCCCACCTTTCCAACCTCCTGCTG